AAGGACCTGACGTTGGAAACCGTGAAGCAACGATTGTTGGCGGAGGAATCCAAGCGGTCTGATCGGATGGAAGATTCTTGTGAAGATAGGAGTGCAGCGTTTGTCGGAGGACGAAATAAGAAGACCAAAAAGTTTACCGGAAAATGCCATCGTTGCGGAAAGGTGGAACATATGCAAAAAGATTGCTATGTTAAGAAGCCAGAAGGTAAGGTGAATGCGGCCGTTAACAGCAAATCAGTTTCATTCATGGTGAACAAGATGCCGACGAAGACGGAACATTTTTCGTTGTGGATTCTGGATGCAGCGACCATCTGGTGAACACTTTGGAATGCATGCAGTCGGTGAGGAAACTCAAACAACCGTTCGTGATCGATGTAACCAAAGATGGTGTTTCAATTATCGGAAACTACGAAGGTGAAGTTACTGGACTATCAAGAGAAGGTGTGAAGTTTTAAATGAAAAATGTGATTTTCGTGCCCGAGCTGAGAGGAAACCTGCTATCCGTGAAGAAGATGTCCCAAGCGGGAATCGACGTACTATTCACAAGCCGTGGTGGAAAGCATCAAGCGATGATGAAAAAGAATGACTCAGTAATTGGAGTAGCGCATCTACGAGGTAATTTGTACGAATTGGATTTAAACTTGGACGTGTCAGGAGCTACCGCAAATCTATGCGCATCGGACGCTGGAAAACTCTGGCATCGTCGTTTGGGTCACGCCAGTCAGACCACGATGAACACGTTGGCCCGGTATAGTGTGGCGGAAGGATTTGGTCCGAAGGTCAATGCTATCGGGTTCTGTGACACTTGCGTGCTCGGTAAGCAATGCAGAGAACCCTTCGACGGAACTCGTGAAAGAGCTAGTCGTCTACTAGAGCGGATTCACTCGGACGTGTGTGGACCAATCAATCCTCCGGCCTGGAATGGATCGAAGTATTTTGTTTCATTCATCGACGATTATAGTCACTTTGCGTGTATCTATGTGATGAAGAAGAAGTCCGAGGTTTTTGGTCGTTTTCAAGAATACGAAGCGATGGTGACCGCCCAGTTCGAAAAACGAATCAGCAAGCTAACCGTGGATCAAGGGTGTGAGTACGGCTCTAAGGAACAAGAAGCATTCTACAAGCGAAAGGGGATTCAAATCCAGCCAACCGTAGCATATTCTCCGCAACAGAACGGAGTTGCCGAGAGGTTCAATCGAACGCTAATTGAAAAGGTAAGGACAATGCTGATCGACTCGAATATGCCCAAGTACATGTGGTCGGAAGCAGTGCTTACCGGTACGTATATATTAAATCGTTGCCCTACTGCTGCTCTATCGGACAACCGTACGCCTGCTGAGTATTGGACCGGTGTGAAACCTGATCTATCGAAATTGAGGATTTTCGGATGCAAAGCATTTGCATGGGTGCCAGGTCAACTCCGGAAAAAGCTGGACAACAAGAGTCGCGAGGCGGTGATGGTGGGCTATGCTCCCAACGGATACCGCCTTTGGGATAGAACGTCAAGAAAAATCCTCGTAGCCCGTGACATCAAATTTGACGAGAATTCATTACCGTACGCTTTTGAAGACAGTCAAGATTCGAGGGTACCGTTGGTGATTCCAATGCTGTATCCGGCCGTCGAAGATGACCAGCAAGCTGAATTGGAAGAGCAGCCAGATGACCAGCAAGTTGAGTTCGAAGACGCGATGCCTGTGCTAAGTGATGACGAGGATGAGGTTGAACTAGACGAACAACCTGAGGAGCAACTTGAAAAACCTGGGGCGCTCGCTTCACAATCAAGAGGTGAAGACTGTTCAGAGTCAAACACTAGGCGTGGTGAACGGGAGCGCAGGCTCCCAGGTAAGTTTCTTGACTTTCTAACTGGGTTCAGAGCAACGTCTGCTGGAAAAATTTCAACATTCCCTGATTTCCCGGATTTGTACGATGAAATCAACGCGCGGAATGACCAAAAACTGTGGCTGGATGCAATCGATGAAGAACTGAAATCCCTGGAGGCCAACAAGGTATGGGAATTGGTGCCGCTGCAGTCAAAGTGGATCTTCCGCACGAAAGAGGATGAAGAAGGAAACCCTGTGCGCTATAAAGCAAGGTTGGTCGTCAAAGGTTTCTTGCAGAAAGCCGGTTTGGACTACAACGAAACCTACGCACCTGTGGCGAAGCTGACGACAATCCGTATTGTGCTGGCTGTCGGTGTTCAAAAAGGGTTCCATTTCCACCAAATGGATGTGAAGACGGCGTTTCTTCACGAGGAGCTGCAAGAGAAAATATTCATGGCGGTTCCGAACGGCGTCAAGGCGAGAGCTGGCACGGTGTGCAAATTGAAAAAGAGTCTGTATGGCTTGAAGCAGTCCCCTCGCTGCTGGAACGAGAAGTTCAATCAAGCGCTGCTGAAGTTAGGTTTTATTCGTTCCAAGCACGATTATTGCCTGTACACCCGTACCGACGAGAGGGGGGAAGATGCCATTTTCGTCGTACTATATGTTGATGACCTTCTCATAGCGGGAGCGAAGCTGTCAACAATTTTGAAATTGAAGAACGAATTATCCCGGATGTTCGCCATGACCGACTGTGGAGAGCTTAGCCATTTCCTTGGCATGAAGATACGCTACAATCGACAAGACGGAAAGATGATGCTGTCTCAAGAAGCAAACCTAGAAAAGATCTTCCTGAAGTTTGGCATGTTGGAATGCAATCCTACAAGGACCCCGATGGAGAAAGGGTTGCAGCTTTATCGTCAAGTTTCCGAAGCTAATGGAGTACCGTATCGTGAGCTACTGGGAAGTTTAATGTACGTGATGGTATCAACGAGATCGGACATTTGCTATCCTGTCGGGTACCTGGGGAGATTCCAAGCTCAACCCGGACAACAGCACTGGACCGCGCTCAAGCGAGTAGTGCGTTACCTGAGAGGGACGATGGATCATTGCTTGACTTTAACCCGGGATGTTCAAGCAAAACCACTAGTTGGGTTCGCGGATGCAGACTGGGCTACCGATACCGAGGACAGGAAGTCAGTGAGCGGATTTGTCTTCCAGGTGTTTGGATCGACTGTTGCCTGGTCTAGTAAAAACAAACGTCACTCGCCACTTCATCAAGTGAAGCAGAGTATGTGGCGTTAAGCGCTGCAGCATCGGAAGCAATATGGTTGATTGGTGTCCTAGGCGATTTGGGTGAAAAGCAGATCGAGCCAGTTGCCATATATGACGACAATCGTGGGTGCATCGGCATGGCTAAGAACGTGGAGAGCAAGAGAGTGAAGCATATTGATATCAAACATCATTTTCTTCGGGATCTTGTCACCGCTGGGAAGCTGCTGATAGAACCAATTGCAAGTGAGAACCAATTAGCTGACTACTTTACCAAGTCCTTGGACGCTGGCCGATTCGAGGAATTAAGAACGAAGCTAGGAGTATCCAAACGAGAGGGGGTGTTAACAAAGTAGGCGTTGGATTGCTGTCTTGAACACTCCAATCAATTTTCTAGCGTTATTCCATATCAAGACACTGAAGAGAGCAGTCATACCAAGATAGCTTTATCGTTAATAAAACTTGTTCATTGTTAAGTGTTGTCCTGGTTATTTCCTGTCCGCCCCATCCGCACCGTATTCCTTTAAACAATTTTATCAATATCGCGCAAAAGTCTGTCAATGACAATGACAAATCTCAGCACTGGTTGCTTCTAAACGTGATTTCATATGAACAGTCATATTTATAAAAGGAATAATGCAAAATTGAAGAATTGAAGTACAAAATGTGCATATTGCCCGAATGGACTTAAGCAGGGTGCCTTCCATTCATTTTGACTAAAAAAATGTTTGAAAAAATTATGGAATAATAAGACATTATGAAAATATTTTGATTACGTAAACAACAAGAAAAGATTGTTAAGTTTGTGTTTGACACATAATACCTGCCAATTTTGCTACATGAGTGTCGCAATAAGCGATTTTGTAATTTATCTCACCCACTCTTCGCTCTTCACTCTTCGCGAAGAGGCGACCAGAAAAACGCTCATTGTGACTCTGTCAAAGCTAAATTTGCAGGTTTGATGTGTGAAACACAAACTTTACAATCTTTTTTTATTACTTACACATACAAAATATCATCATAATATCCTATTATTCTATAATTTCATAAAACATTTTTTTAGTCAAAATGAATGGAAGGCACCCTGGACTTAAGTAACATTTTGTTAAGAAAAACTTAAATATTTTTTGAAAACGAGAAAAACATCGTGTCATATAAGAAATCAACGACCATACAATATAGGTGCTGAAGGAATAATAACGATAAGTTATAATAAACCTCTGATAGACCTTATTTTCTGATACATTTTTGACATTTTGAGCTAGTCTAACATTTTTCGAATATTCGCACTAGAGAAAAGAAATTTTTGTAGACTAAGACTGTGTTCCATTTGGTGAATTTCCACTTAAATATGACAGATGGAAAATTTGCAAATAAACCTGCTATTCGAGCATACTTATTTCTGGCGGATCAGGACTCAATTTTGACAAACACCTTTTCGAAAATCGAACGATCAACAAGAGAGGGATTTTCGAAGAGTATAATTTATTTTCGAAGTGTCAAATTTAAGTGAAAATTCGCCAAATGGAACACAGCCTAAAATTCAATTGATAGCATTCAAGCATTTAGCCTGCAACAGATTTTTTGTAAAATATGTTCTATTTACCCTACCTACATAATAGTTAACTTACTCTTCCATTCTAATTCCTCTGTATAGTTGAAAAGGGCGTAGAATGTAGAATGAGCGAACAAACGATAATCGCTTCATTTTTCAGCACCACCCAAATGCGGTTGTGGGCAAATTCATTTTGCGAATGAGAATGCAAAGAACTTGCCCGCTGCATTCGATTGGCTTCGTTCTCGTTCTTCACAGTGCAGCGCTTTTCTAGGGGAAGGTTAATCGATAGTATATAGCTGGCTACCTATTCTGCATATTGAAGACGATTAATTTTCCTTGTTTCATTCCTACAGCGAAACCGACGCTCCCGGATAACTACCAGGAGCACACATGGCAGAAGCTCCGGGCGGCGGTGGTCGCCATCCAAACGTCCACACCGATCGAATACTCGCTGGAGGAACTGTACCAAGCCGTGGAGAACATGTGCAGCCACAAGATGGACTCGCAGCTGTACGTCAATCTGACGGCCCTGGCAGAACAGCACGTCAAGGCCAATATTACGCCGTTCCTCGCCGAGTCGGTCGACAAGCTGGTCTATCTGAAGAATATGAACGAATGCTGGCAGTCGCACTGTCAGCAGATGATCATGATTAGAAGCATCTTCCTGTATCTGGACAGAACCTATGTACTGCAGAATCCGACGGTTCACTCGATTTGGGACATGGGACTGGAACTGTTCCGGGACCATATAGCGATGAACACACTGGTGCAGGCTAGGACAGTGGAGGGGATTCTGATGCTGATCGAGAAGGAGCGAAACGGTGATGCGGTCGATAGAACTCTCCTGAAAAGTCTGCTCAGAATGTTGTCCGACTTGCAGATCTACAAGGAAGCGTTCGAACAGAAGTTCCTCATTGCAACGAAGCATCTGTACCAGTCGGAAGGACAGGCCAAGATGGAAGAACTGGAAGTTCCTGAATATCTGCTGCACGTCGAGAAGCGGTTACAGGAAGAAAACGAACGTATTCTTCACTATTTGGACAGCTTCACGAAGCATCAGTTGATCGTCACCGTAGAGCGACAACTCATTACGGAACACCTTACCGGCATCCTACAGAAAGGCCTAGATCTACTGCTGGCAGAGAATCGCCTGTCCGATCTCAGTCTGCTATATTCGCTCTTTTCACGCGTCAAAAACGGAACAGTCGAACTGTGTGCATCGTTCAATGCCTACATAAAAAAGAAGGGTCGCACAATCGTCATCGATCCGGAGAAGGACAAATCTATGGTACAGGACTTGCTAGATTTTAAAGACAAACTGGACAACATTGTCATCACGTGCTTCGAGCGAAATGATAAATTCGTCAATTCGCTCCGAGAAGCGTTCGAGTTCTTCGTCAACCAGCGCTCGAACAAACCGGCGGAACTGATTGCCAAGTATGTGGACATGAAGCTGCGTGCCGGCAATAAGGAAGCCACAGAGGAGGAATTGGAACAGATCCTGGACAAAATCATGGTTCAGTTCCGGTTTATCCACGGTAAGGATGTGTTCGAGGCGTTCTACAAGAAGGATTTGGCCAAACGATTGCTCGTGGGCAAATCTGCTTCCGTCGATGCCGAGAAGAGCATGCTGTCGAAGTTGAAGCAGGAGTGCGGCGGTGGGTTCACTTCCAAGCTTGAGGGCATGTTCAAGGACATGGAACTGAGTAGGGATATCAACATCGCATTTAGACAGGTTTGTACCAGGGCCAGGTTCGTCAGGGAGAAACACTAACACTATTATTTTTTTCCGATCCAGCACATGGCCAATTCGGAGCACAAGGACCTGCAAAGCCTGGACCTGACGGTCAACATCCTAACAATGGGCTTCTGGCCGACATATCCGGTAGTGGAGGTCACCCTGCCTGAGGAACTGCTACAATACCAGTCGGTGTTCAATAAGTTCTACCTGGCGAAACACAGTGGCCGGAAACTGCAGTGGCAACCGACGCTGGGGCACTGCGTACTGAAGGCGCGGTTCGATGCGGTAACATATTTTTGACTCTCGTCTCACAAGGGAATGGCATATTATACCTATATCCTCTTGTTTCATTTCAGGGACCCAAAGACCTGCAAGTGTCACTGTTCCAGGGACTGGTCCTGCTACTGTTCAACTATAATTTGACCATATCGTTTGAGGATATTAAGGCAGCCATCAATATAGAGGTAAGTGTGAATTGATTAGCACTTTTCTAAGCTTTTTGACGGCATTGCGCTCTTCCCTTGCAGGACGGTGAAATGCGCCGCACGCTTCAATCGCTTGCCTGTGGCAAAGCCCGTGTGCTCACCAAGATCCCCAAAGGACGCGAAGTGGAGACCAACGACAAGTTCCAGTTCAACAATGAGTTCACGAATAAACTCTTCAGGATTAAAATCAACCAGATCCAGATGAAAGAAACGGTTAGGGATTGCCTTTCGGTTGTTACCACCGATCCCCGGGAATAACGTTCGCATTTCTTTAACCAATTTTCACAGACGGAAGAACAGAAAGCAACCGAGGAACGTGTCTACCAGGATCGGCAGTACCAGATCGATGCCGCGATCGTGCGCATCATGAAGATGAGGAAAACGCTCAGCCACAATCTACTCATCAGCGAGCTGTACAAGCAGCTAACTTTCCCTGTTAAGGTAAATCATCTGATGAGAGTCTGTAATACTTAGTACTGATCTTTGATTTCCCCCCAAACAGCCGGCCGACCTGAAGAAGCGAATCGAATCCCTGATTGACCGTGACTACATGGAACGGGACAAGGACAACCAAAATCAATACAACTATGTTGCTTAAGTCTCTAGAACCGTAAGTACCGTTTAAGCTGGAAGGGGGAGGAAACTGTGAAAGGTTGCTCAATAGCTGTGCTCATACTATCCTCAGAGCAGAGTGTAGGGTCCTTGTGTCTATGTGTTTTTCTTTATTTGAAGTGGTTCTACGTCGTATGCGTGTGAAAGCCACTAACTACTACGTTGGTGGATTTGTGCGTGTGTGAGAGAGACTTTATCTCAGTTTTTTTTTTTTAATTGTACTAGACGACAACAACCGTTCCAGGATGGGAAATGAGTAGACAAAAAATACACACAACACACGAATCGAATTGCCCCTTCCCCACTAGGGAAAACTTGTTTCATCCATCAGAGGTCTTTCGGGGTTATTTCAACAACCCCACTAGGAGCCTACTTCAGGGAACGACGCCCACGTACTGACGAACCTCACCTTCAGTGTAAAAGTGTACCACAGTTAGAACTCGAAAAGCAACAGTGCTGTTACACACTGAGAAAAATCATCTTTTGTAAATACTTTGAATCAACAGTAAGGAAGAAGAAAAACATGTTTGCTAACGTTAACAACCGAAATGGCAAGAAAGTGAAAGGTCCCCTACTAGCAATTCTTTGGAACTAATTTAAAGAACAAAAACAAACCAATAGAAAAGGAAAACAATCTTGAACATGCTGTAATAGAAGAAAATCTGCCGGAAGAATAAAAATTCACTAAAAATAGGAGAAGGCTTGGCTGTATGATGCTGTTCTTCGAAATACCCTGGATAAGTTTTCTTGAGTTGTGAGTAGTGCAGTGCTACTCCCAAGAAGCCCCTGCCAAAGAATAAATTTGGTTTGGTCTTGGATTCATTTTCATATCTTTACTAACTCGATACACTGCCCATAACCATATGTCAGTCTCATCTGTATTGTTTTTCATTTTCAGCTAGTTGTTTGTGAACTGTTCATCTTTTTATGTTTGAGCTTCAGGGAAGTCCTTTAATCTTTGGAGAATAACTACGAATTTTACAGAACTTTCTACAGATTTAATGTAACTTCTACGACTTTAAGGTAGTGCTTAAAACTTAAGGATAGTCCTATGGCACTTATGGATTTTTCCGAGCTTCAGAGAAGTCTTCAATACTCTTGAGAGGTCCTCTGTTCTACATAGTTAACATAGTTCTCCAAGCTCGAAAAAGTTCCTAGAACTACGAAATTCATGGGAGCTCTCCAAGCTTCAAGGAATTTCCAAGAAATTAAGGAAAGATCCCCAAACTTTTGGAAAACCCTTCGATATTTAAAGCTTTATGCACTTCAGGGAAGCTCTTCTAAATTTAGGGTCCTCATATATTCAGTTAAGTCCTTCAAACTTCAGGGAAGTCCTCAGATCTTCGAGAAAGTTCTTTATACTTGAAGGTAGTCTGACGAGCTTCGTGGTACTTCTACGACATTTAAGAAATTCCTATGAATTTCAAAAAACTCCGAACTTTAGGGAAGTTCTAAGATCTTAAAAAAAGTCCTTCAAACTTCGGGGAAGTCCCATGAAATTCAGGCAATACAAACTTCAATGAACCCTTCAGGAAATACCTTAACGGTTCAGGGAAGTTCTACGAACTTTAGGGAGTTTCTATGAACTTCAGCAGTCAGTCTTTTTTAATAATAAGAGTTATTAAACCAGCGTTGTTTATGAAATCTTTTAATCATAAGATTTTGAAATCATGTTGTAATCAAAATTCCGCTAAATAAGATCCTTAATCGTTGACAATTTGCGGAAAATTTAAACAAACTGGAAATCCGTAAAATTGTTAGAAGCAAAGGTTTGTTTAAAGAGTCCTCATTCATATCACACTTCGCAATTTCACCTTGAGATAAACTAGCCCGTTGGCTAAAAATATCAATAATAAAGTAAAAAAATCGCAGTTCAAAAACAGAAATCTCAAGATTTAGGGGCTTATATATCTCTTAATTTCAGACATTAGATAGGTCTCCGCGCTAGTCCGTCGTATCTCAGCTTTTCTTCGTCATACACCCCTAAAATCGCTCATTATACGGGTTATCGCAAATGTTTCAGTGTCAATCGCAATTAATCTTGTAAGCAAAGATGTTTTTGCAAAAACATGAGTGAAAACGCTTTGCTATTATAGTTTTAGCACATAGAACGGATAGGCGCCATGATACGACGAAGTAGCGCGGCTCCCTACTAGCTTCTTTACAGCAAACAATCAGATAAAGATTTCACGGGTTTTCACAAGAACCTTAATACATACCTATTTTGGTTTGTGAAATTCCGCATTGCGCGAAGAATGATGGTACAAGGATTCACTTTGTATTTTTTTTTTTATTAAAAATTGTTTTTTAAATACATGGTTTTTAAACCATTGACCAGGAAAACCTGGAATTTCAAAATGGAAATTCACTTGCCACCCTGCAGTGATGTATCTGTGATTTCCAGGGTGAGCAGTCGTTAGATTCCTTGTCGCAAGCAGGACGTCAAGATCTTCTACCAAAACGCCGGTAGAATGAATTCTGATGTTGAAGAGTACCGCCTAGCTGTATCGGATTGTAGCTACGATGTAATTGTCCTGTGCGAAACGTGGCTCGATTATCGAACGCTTTCCGGTCAAGTCTTCGGTTCTGAATACGAGGCCTTTCGTTGCGATCGGAATCCTAACAACTGATGCAGAGTAGCTGGCTCGGACAGTGGAGAAAAGAAACGCGTGCGGTTCACAAGGGTGACAACTATGGAATGATCTTTATTCAGTTTTAGATTCGTAGCAGAGTGGTAGCAAAGTAGTATGCGTTACATCGAGTGTGCATAACTGGGATAAATTAGATAAAATAAAATGTTGCACTCAAAGGAATTGTGTGGTTTAAATTGACAACGGTGCCACACGGTTGTGTAGCCCGTCACTCCTCCTCAACGTTGTCAGTTGGATGTCTCCGATGGCTCCTTAACGCCGATGGCAGATCGGTGCCTCTCCAGCTTGATTAGGTCCAACGGCTTCGTCATGAGGTCCGCCTCCATGCGCTCGGTTGGCATGTAGCGGAGTTCGATGATTCTCTGCTGTTGGAGGTCCTTGGTGTAGGCATACTTGGTGTCAATGTGCTTAGAACGCCGTTCAAGACGGTCCGATTCCACGATCTTTATGCACGATTGATTGTCTTCCCAAACGATGATCGGATTGGGCGGTGCTTGCTTGATGTCGTTGAGCAACTTCCGGTACCACATGAGCTGCTGGCAACCATCCGCCAGCGCGACGAATTCTGCCTCCGTCGAGGACAGGGCGACACACGACTGCTTTCGAGTGCCCCAGTCGACGAGACCACCGCCGAACTTCAGGAGGAACCCGGAATGTGATTTCTTATCACTTTCGTCGCCGGCCCAATCGGCGTCGACAAAGCATTCCGTTTCGCCGGATCCGGAACCCAGGTGCAAACGATGGTTCTTCGTGGCCTTGAGGTAGCGGAGAACCCTCTTCGCTTCGGTCTAATCTCGGTTGGTCGGGTGGGTGACTTTTCTTCCAAGCAGGGAGACGGCCACGTAGATATCCGGCCGTGTGTTCACCGCGACGTAGAGCAAACTTCCTACCAAACTGCGGAACGACGCGTAATCCCAGGAACTGCTTAAGCTCGCCGAGACAGGAAAGCTTGAACTTGTCTTGTAGCTGCCGACGAATTTCTTCAAACTCGGCCTCGGAGTTGCAGACGACGAGCAAATCGTCGACGTACACTAGGATGTAGCTCTGCTCCCCGTACAGGCACAGGATTTACAGGCACGCGTCGCTATTCGCTGGCTTGAAACCCATGGACTTCAACACTCCGTCGATCTTCCTGTTCCAGGCTCGGGCGGATTGCTTGAGCCCATGAATGCAGCGTTTGAGGCGGCATACCATACCATCGTTTCGGTCGAAGCCAGGTGGTTGCTTCATATACACCTCCTCTTCCAGATCGGCGTACAGGTAAGCGCTTCGGATGTCCAGGTGCTTGACTAACTTTTGCTGCTGGCTGGCCAGTACTAGGATGGTCCGAAGGGTCGTTTGACGGACGACCGGGGCAAACACCTCGTCGTAATCCTGACCGAACTTCTGAGAGAATCCCTGCGCGACCAGTCTCGCCTTGTGCCGCACTACCTGCCCGGTTTCATCTTCCTTCTTCTTATACGTCCACTTGCAGCCTACCGGTTTGCGCCCAGGGGGTAGGGGGACGAGTTCCCAAGTGCCGGTTTCCTGGAGAGCTGCGATCTCCTCCTGCATCGCCGCCTGCCAGATCGCCGCCTCAGGGTCATCGACCGCGTCAGAGTAGCTTTGCGGTTCATCGCTGATATGTTTCGTTACGCCGGTGACGTCGCCGAATCGTTGAGGCGGGACGCCCTTCGTTGGACGCGTGGATCGCCTCGGTTCTCCGAGGTGTGGCAACTCCATGTCACTGAATCCCTCGAATTCACCGTCCGATTGATTCGATTAATCCGCTGTATCGTATCATTCAGGATCTTCCGCTTCCGGACGCGCCTCGGGTTCGATTTCGGGTTGAGCTTCAGGTTCAATTTCGGGTTGAGCTTCAGGTTCGACTGGACGGTTCTGCAGACGACCTATATCAAAGAGAACTTCATCGCCTTTCTTACCTTTGGTGGAAGCGTCCGTCGAAACGTCCGTTGGATCCTTCTTCATGTCGTCTTCAACGAACTTGGCATCCCGGCTAATGTAGATTTTCCGCGTGGTTCTGTCCAGGAAGCGATAAACCTTATGCTCCGAGGAGTAGCCCACGAATGTTAACTTTTGTGCTGTGGCGTCCAGTTTCTTCCTTTTCACCTTTGGGATGTGGACCCAAGCACTGCAGCCGAAAATCTTGAGGTGATCGACCTTCGGTTTCGCACCGGTCCAAAGCTCGAATGGTGTGACGTCGAGGGGCTTCGTTGGCAGAACGTTTTGTAGGTAGACTGCTGTGGTCAGCGCTTCTGCCCAGTAGCGTTGCTCCAACTGTGCATCGAAAAGCATGCACCGTACCATTTCGATGAGCGAGCGGTTTTTCCGCTCCGCGACACCGTTCTGCTGGGGGCTATAACCGGCGGTGTATTGAGCCGATATTCCCTCTCGCTTGTAGAACGCACGTAGCCGCTTGCTGTTATACTCGCCGCCCTGATCAGAGCGGATAGCCTTCGGCTTTTGGCCAAAAAGTGTCTTGGCGTAGGCGACGTACTCCTCGATTTTTGTGGCGACCTCGGACTTCTCTTTCAGTAGGTAGAGGACGCAAAATCGGCTGCGGTCGTCGATCACTGTCATGAAGTACCTGTAACCGCCGACCGATGGCACCTCAACCGGGCCGCAGACGTCCGTGTGCACCAGTTCCATTGGTGCTTTCGATCTGGAATTAGACTCACTCGGAAAAGGGGTGCGTGGCGTCTTACCTTACAAACAGCATTCACACTTTTCGTCGATGCTGCACCGGCGGAGCGTCAGACCGTCCACTAGTTCGTTCTTCACCAAATGGTCGATTGCTATCGGATCCCGGTGGCCGAACCGGCGATGCCAAACGTGCTGGCAGTCTTTGTTATGGTGACCGCTTGCCACCATCACGTTTTCCGGTTGCTTAATTTGGTAGAGCCCCTGCTTCAAACGCGCCACAGCGATGGTGGCGTCTCCACGAAGAATCCGACAACCAGTCGCGTCGAAGACGACTGTAGCTTGCTTTTGAACGAGAGCCGGGACGGAAAGCAGGTTCATCGAGAGGGTGGGGGCGTAGAGCGCAAAGCTGATGTCCATTTCACGACGATGCCCATGCTCGTCAGCGCACTCGACGACGCAGCAGCCTTCACCTCGCTTGTTTATCGTCCGCCAGGTTGACAAACTTTACTTCACTTTCGTGCAATTCCCGGAAAAACTTCCGATCCGCTACGGTGTGCCGTGTCGCACCAGAATCGACGACCCACGGTTTGACAGCTTCATCGGATGGTGAAGCTCCTCCTGCAGCAAGCGCGAACGAAACTGTCTCCTTCTTGCTGAGGTTCCTTTTCCGAATCACGAGCGAACTTGCGGCACTCCTTTTGTTTGTGCCCCAGCTTTCGGCAATAGTGGCATTCAATTGGCTTCTTCTTCTTCTTCTTGTTGTCATGCCCGACCCGCAGCGCCGAGCTCAATCCAGCACCTTGTCGCTTTGCTGCCTCGTCCAGGAGCTTCCTTTTTACTACCGGCTTTCGAGGGCGGTTGTGAGGGTGTCGTACGAGGAGGAGAGACTTCTCAAAATCATCGCGACAGTGAGATTCTCCGCGAGCTCCTGTCCGGCGTTTGCCAAACGCGAAAACAAATCCTCCATCTCGAATAGATGCTCCGCCATGTCGTCGCCGTCGGTAAATCGCTTGTCGCAAATTCGCTTTAGCAGCGACACTTTTGACGTCAGGCTCGTCTTTTGTTGGTGGTTTTGCAGCGCCGTCCAGGCGTCTTTGGCCGTTCGTGACGCGCGGATCAGCCCGTGCTGGTTGTCTTCAATTAGTAGGCCGATCGTAGCCCTCGCTCTGGCGTCGCTCGCGTTCCACGTCGCGTCGGCTTCCCCTTCAGGCTTCACACCCGGATCCACGTAGCGCCAGAGCTCTTCTCGAACGAGCAGCTGCTCCACTTTAAAGCGCCACGTCGGGTAGTTGGTATTCCCCAACTTTTGCACGGAGAATCGATTTCCTTCCATCGCACACGCGAAAAATCGACCGAAAACACGCGAAAACTTCGATTTCAGGACGAATATACCGCGAACTAGCGAAAACTTTTCGTTTTTACAAATGGCGTCACCACTCTTCCGCCGTGTTGCCCATAACCTGATGCAGAGTAGCTGACTCGGACAGTGGAGAAAAGAAACGCGTGCGGTTCACAAGGGTGACAACTATGGAACGATCTTTATTCAGTTTAGATTCGTAGCAGAGTGGTAGCAAAGTAGTGTGCGTTACATCGAGTATGGATAACTGGGATAAATGAGATAAAATAAAATGTTGCACTCAAAGAAATTGTGTGGTTTAAATTGACAACGGTGCCACACGGTTGTGTAGCCCGTCAACAACAGCCATAAATCTACTGGTGGAGGTTTCCTTGTACCTGTCCGTGGCGGGTTGGAGGCAAAGGCCATTGAGAACGATTCATGGAACTATGTGGAGCAGGTTTGGACAGCCATCAATCTGGGTGATCGCACACTATTTCTATGCGCTCTGTATATTTCACCTGATCGAGTCCGGGACAATGAACTCATCGATACTCACTGTCGGTCAGTTTTCACAGTTATCGAAAGTGCCACTCAATTTGATGATATATTTATTTTGGGTGACATCAATCTGCCACGTGTTTCGTGGAGATTCGGATAGCTCTACATTTCACGCAGGAGCTATTAGCCTTCTCGACAACTACAGCGAAAATGATCGTAGTTTGGACCTCTGCTTCGTGAACACACAAGACAGGGCTCTATTAATTTCCTCGGCTCGTTGTGCACTAACTCATGACTTCCGTAAAGCTGACCACCGTAGCATCATAGATTGTCTAGCATGATATGGGAGAACATCCTTGATTCAGATGACGTTGAGGCTGCAGCGCAAAGTTGCCAGTCTTCTTGATTTGATATCTTTGCCATTATCCTCTAATTCTCAGTTAGTTGCGTCCTCTTCTCTTAGCTCTTTTCCATTCTTGCATTTACACAAAGGCGCGCTCCAATGCGCTCAAAGGAATGATTTCTGTAGGACACAAATGGATCGAACATAAATTGTAGGTATACATTTAAGGTTAACTTGTGATATTAATTGCAAGGACTTTTTCGGATAAATAACTACCAATTTCCTGTTCTTAACGTGTCTGTCTCTGTGTTTTTTTTTACTGATATTTGCTTTCAATTGTGTTTGTAACTGTTTCTTATAATCTTTGCTTCAATTTCATCACGATTAAATGTGGTACTCAATGCAATGATGCCTTTCCTACTCATCCTCCATCCATGCTACGTTGATTGCATACTTCGATTGATTTTCCATTTTTGTTTTTAGTCATCTACTGTTATTGTAGTTATAAGTTATTTTTCTAAACTTTTCCTTTCGTTTTAGTAACATTCACGCACACTTAGGTTGTCTGGTTTGATTCGCATGTTTTGCTTGACTTACTGACTGTGGTCGTAGAGTGTGGTTCGGCTTGAATTCACATTTGAGTATTTTGCTTCACTTTTGATTCGTCGAATTTATTTCTCTCTAAAATGATGGCATTTTTCATTACGCTTCAATTTGTTCTGTTTGTTCTCACCTACAACAGATTAGTTCGATTTTTAACTTTAGTTTTAATGATCTCTTTTTTTTTGTATAACAGTAACGTTACTATTTTTCTTACTGGATTTACTGACATTCTAGTGGTAAACTGTATTGGTTTCGTGTTTGTTTTGCTCTGTTTGACGAGGTTGATTGAGGAAAATTGAGTTTCTGCTATATTTACTGTATTTTCGTTCGCTCTAGAAGAAGAAGGTGGAGGAGACTGTGGGTAAAAGAGACGTCGATTCTATTACACATTGAGTAACGATTTGTTTGCTAATAGAGTACTGTTTTTTGTTTGAAGTAGTTTCAATAGTTCACTGGACTCCTGTTTTAATTCCATTCGTTTTTACGTTGCTTATGTTTTTCCGGCTTTCTGTATGCTCTTTTCTTAATTCATATATTTTCTCTGTATACTGGCACATAATATTTCGGCTTTCCGTCTTTGTAACACTACACATCTTCATAGGTTTATGGTTTGTTATACTCATTTGTGTTCTATGCTTTCTTGCATGTGTTGTATATAGGTAATCGGTAGTTAATTTTTACAAACAATATCTATCAACTAATCATATATATGCTTTTAGTTTGTCCTTTCTTTGTTTTTGCTTTGATTTAAAATTACCTTCTTGTTTTGTTTGCACGTCTCGAATCTCCTAAATCGAACTCAAAATAAATGCTTTCTTCTTAGGTTAACATTCTCTCAGTTGTTGCTTTGTGTTGTCAAATTTGTTTTTTTTTTTCGTTCGAATCAAACTAATAGAGAAAAAAAACTAAAGACTGTGACTTTCAACGTCAAATGGTGGACATTTTCCGTCTACTTTGAGCAGTTTCGTTTCATCGTCCTAATCGTAATCACTTTAGGAATAATGATAATAATAATAATAATACATTCATAAAATAGTACTCTTTCTGTCTTATCCACGATACACCCTACCCTAAGCCTAGTAACTCACTTTCTACACCTTTTTGAGACAGGGAGAAGAGAATTCCTCCCAGCATAAAATAATAATAAATAGCAAATAGATTATTCGAATACAGAAGAGGATGCAATTTCGCGCTCGATACATGGTATATTTTATGGTAGCAGACTTAGAAAAATCACTCTGTTCACGATTTTGTTTTTTTTTTTTTTTTGTTGCAAGAAATCTTCGCGCACGGGTGATGAATTTGTTCTTCTTCATTTACCCCCTAACATCGATGAAAATGCCTTTCCGTCGAAGCTCAGCTCCGTCTCAATTACGTAACTTTACTACTACAACAAACCTACATGTTTACGGATTTTTCAAAATACCTTCCACAGCTCGAAAGCCGTCCTATTCTTCCAACATCTGCACGAAGCTCACCGGGAACATGCCGCGCCGGGTGCTGTCCCCTTCGATTTCCCCCTCCATCCAGTTGTCGTCGTCGGTTCGCTCGTTGAGGACGATGAGAATTTCGCCCTCCTTGAACTCGAGCTCGTCGTCGTTGTCCGCATTGCAGTCGTACAGGGCCCGACAGCGTCGGGGACCGGTCTGGAAGAAATAAGCGATTGTCCCTTGTCAAATTTAGTCTCATCAATTTAAGGTGGGGTGGAAGTCATTCGGTCTCACGCTCTCTAAGCTAAGGGGTAAGGACAAATACGGATCGAACACTTGCTTTTAACGCTACCAAAACAACATGGGATTACCTTTGTGGTGGTCATCCTAACAGTACCCGACCACACTGGAGTCTTACGGCAATTCCGGGTTCGATTCCGCAAGACCTAATAGAGGAAGTGATAGAATTGTGTGACGGAAAGATTCAAGAATTCCATTGTTGATCATGGTAGGTAGCGATTCATGATTCAAATGAGCCGATGGTGCAGCAAACAAAAGGTTAGGCTTGCAGTTCGGACGAAGAACCTGCTGGCATGAAAACTGTACACACCAACTGCTCATTTGTTAATAACTTTTCACTCAGTTGTTGAAATTTGTTTTTCTTTAAAGTAATTGATAGATTAGGATCATAGCTTACTGTAGATATGCAAAGAGCAGGTAAATCTTAAAATTTGAATCAACACCAATGAATTTTTAGTCTTTAAGTCCGCGATGCGCAGCGAGCATTTCTCACTTGATTTTTACAACGCAAAAAGAAATACAGTTTATTGCTAGAATTGAAATCTACTTTTTCGTACGTACTTATTACAAGCTTCAACTTATTCTATCTACTGCTTCAAACAGAACTATGCTTTGCCAACTGTGTGCAAAGTTATAAGCAAATGAGCAGTTCGTGATCAAAACTGTGTATGCCAAGCATATTGGTGGAATACAAAAATGAAGGAATGGCAAGTCTTGTTAATTAAACGTAGAACGAGCGGCTAAATGCCAAAGGTGCTGTCCATAAACCACGCGATGGTATTCTGATTCCCAGGAAGAGCAGAGAGAAGACAGAACTATTAAAGCAGTTTTATCAACAATCAATTCGCAACTAACGATTTTAAATTGGCTCACTATTCATTGTCAAGATTTTGTTGCTGTCAATTGTGATATTTTAACCGTTAAAACGACCAAAACGACAGCAACCTGAGTCATCATTATCAGCGAAATCACAACATCAAATTTAGATTTCAATCTTTCTCAGACTTTGCTCGGGAGTCTCTTCCTCATTCCGTTATTGGGTTTCTTCTTCCATTCGTTGTCGTACTGGCTGCTTTCTATCCTTCCGCATAGGCAGGAATTCATCCGATGCCCTTCCGTCTTACAAAGGAAACACACATTTGTGGTTCTCTTGGTAGAATATATTCCCCTTCTGATTGAGGAAATGAAGCGAGTTGGGAATCTTCTTTTTTACATCCATACATAGACCTCGCACACTTGTAAGGATATGGAGGCCCAAGGTCGCTGGAAATTTCTCCCGTACTATACGCTTTTACATCACAGTATTTCCCTAGCACCAATGCTAGATCGCTATCCGGGACTTCTGATGGTAGGTCGTAAATTCTCATGTATTGAACGGTGCTCCATCCAGGCGACATGCGTACCTCGACTGATTTTCCATCGGTATAATGGAAAATTAATTGTTCACGGTTGTTTAGCAAACAATAAAGCATCGAATCCTCTGATTTGAACTTGATGAACATAGATTTTTCCTCCGCTATTCGATAAGTAGCGATCATTTGAGTGGGATCCACATCCAGAGATTTCACAAAATTCGCACTGTCTTCCATTGATGGTTTCCCCGATCCATGTGGGAAGCTGAATCTGATCGTCAGTTTTATTTCCACATACATCTCCACTAGTTGGGTAACGGCAAAAGTGAACGAACTTCAAACAATGAGCAAGCACGGCACCAATTAGTTGCTATCGAAATACAGACTATCGCGCTGCTTGTGTCAACAGCTTCGAGCGAACTGGACCGGATGACGGTTGTTTTGTAATCAGATGATACTTACCATACCAATCAGGCTAAGGCCTTGTTGTTCGAAAAAGTCGTCTCCATTCTACTCGATCCATGGCCAATGGCCACGCTTCGCCAGGCTCTTAGTCTGCGAAGAGTTCGCAGGTCGCCTTCTATTTGGTCGATCCACCTTGCCCACTGCGCGCCTTTTCTTCTTGTTCCTGTTGGGTCGCTTTTGAGGACCATTTTCACTAAGTCGTCGTGCGGTAGTCGCCCAATTTTTGCAATGTGGACGATGGATGGTTCTCCCAGCAGCTGGTGCAATTCGTGATTCATTTGCCTTCTCCACGTTCCGTCATCCATATGTACTCCACCGTAGATGGTACGCAACACCTTCCGTTCGAAAACACCAAGTCCTCCACGAGCATAGTCCAGGTCTCGTGGCGTCTTATAGATAGTCAACTTCGTGCGGCGGAGTCCAAAGTAGGCTCGATTCCCTGCCATAATGCGCCTTTGAAATTCTCTGCTGGTATCATTTTCGGCGGTCACTTACTTACTTACTTATCCTGGTCCGACATCCCACAGTATTGCACCTGCATCACAATATGTTGCGCCAATTCACTCGGTCCGTGGCTGCTTGTCTCCAATTTCTTGACCGTCCCACATTTCCAAGATGCTGCTCCACTTCGTCTAACCACCTTGCTCGCTGTGCTCCTCTTCGTCTTGTACCGGCCGGATTCGAGGCAAACACCATTTTTGCGGGATTGTTGTCCGGTATTCTTAAAACGTGTCCCGCCATAGAGTTGCGCCAGCTCGTGGTTTATCCTACACCGTTCTCACATACCCCGCCAAAGATGGTCCTAAGCACTCGTCGTTCGAAAACACCCAGTGCTTGCAGGTCCTCCTCGAGCATCGTCCACGTCTCGTGCCCGTAGAGAACTACCGGTCTTAACAGCGTCTTGTACATGGTACATTTAGTACAGAGGTGAAGTTTACCCGACCTCAGGGTCTTGTGGAGTCCGTAATAAGCACGACTTCCGGCAATAACACGCCGACGAATTTCTCTGCTGCAGTTGTTATCCGACGTCACCAATTATCCGAGGTACACAAATTCATCCACCACCTCGAACTCATCCCCGTCGATTGTCACGCTTCTGCCTATGCGAGCCCTATCCCGCTCGGTTCCTCCAGCTAACAGAAACTTTGCTTCACGTTTCAGCCTGGTGTACTTCTCCGCCACGGCCTGAAACGTTCTTCCGACAATGTCCACGTCGTCAGCGAAGCAGATGAACTGGCTGGACTTATTGAAGATCGTGCCCCGCATGTTAAAGCCCGCACTTTTCATAACACCTTCTAGCGCAATGTTGAACAGGAGGCAGGAAAGACCATCGCCTTGTCGAAGTCCTTTGCGAGTAAATGAGTCCGATAACGCGCCCGATATCTTCACGCAGCACTGTACACCATCCATCGTATCCCTGATCAGTCTGGTCAGCTTCCCGGAAAAACCGTTTTCGTCCATAATCTTCCATAGCTCTTCACGGTCAATAGTATCATAGGCGGCCTTGAAATCGATGAATACGTGGTGCGTAGGGACTTTTGGAGGATCTGCCGCAACGTGAAGATTTGGTCCACTGTCGATCGCCCGTCCACAAAACCGCTTGCTAGCGGCGATAAACGGCGAAAGATGATCTGGGAAAGCACTTTGTATGCCGCGTTAAGAATAGTGATCGCTCGATAGTTCTCACATTCTAGTTTGTCGCCTTTTTTATATACTGGGCATATTACTCCCTCTTTCCACTCCTCCGGTAGCTGTTCTGAATCCCAGATCCTGACTATCACTCGGTGCAGACAAGTGGCCAACTTATCCGGGCCCATTTTGATAAGTTCCGCTCCGATACCATCTTTCCCCGCTGCTTTGTTGTTCTTAAGCTGTCGGATAGCATCCTTAACTTCACCTATCGTGGGAGCTGGCATGCCCCTCTCATCCGCTGTACCGACGAAGCCATTCCTCCTGCCGCCTTGGTCCTCCGCCTCTGCGCCGTTCAGATGTTCATCGTAGTGCTGCTTCCACCTGCTGCTTCGGCCGTCACCAGTGAGCCCAAATACACAAACTCATCGACCACCTCGATTTCGTCACCGTCAATCTGAACTCAGGGTGGGAGGCTAACATTGTCTTCCCTAGAACCTCTTCTTAAATTGTATTTCGTCTTTGATGCGTTGATGGTAAGTCCAATCCGCCTAGCTTCAGCCTTCAGTCGTAATTGCCGAGATTCAAAGGAACTCGAGAGTGTCCCGATACTCGAACAACGCACATCACTCGATCCATCGTCGCCTTGAGCAATCGCATCAGAGTTTATCCGGAAATCCGTACTCGTGCATGTAATCAGATGATGCTCCTCTCGAATACAGGAATGGACCTCAGTTGAAATACGTAATGCTCTCTGTAGAATGATTGTCATCCCTAATTGAAATGCATATGGTATTGATTCAGTCCCATAACGTAAATCATACAAAACGATGATGTAAATAATTCTATGATGTAAATATTTGCTTATCTGAGCTGACAATGGAGGTGGAAATATAGTCATCGCAATCACAGGTGGTACGAACATTGGTAAAGCGTGGGAACAGAAGATTGTCTATTTCGTGGTGAAGGAAGTTTCCTCCTCCAACAAACGATTTTTGTATTGGCTGTTCGTGTCTATTCAATATGGAAATGTAAACAATTGAATTATAAATCTAAATTAAACCATTTTCAAGTCACCATATTCTTAAATTGTTGTCCTGTGAGCGCTGTATGTTTTACAGCCAATTTGCAAATAAATATCATCCATTATTTGGATGACAGTCATATGGATGCTCATCAGCTGATGATCAGTTCGAGCGATGCTATAATCAGTCGAAATATTACGGGTGTTTTCGTTCAGTGTAGAGAGGGTCTAGTATAAGAGAGGAGCGGATTCATAACAAACTACCTTGGCAACCTATGTCTAGGTGATTTCTAGCAACTTTTCCAATGCGCTGCGCTGCTCGATAGGTTCTGGCTTGGACAGTTCGTTTGGTTCAAAACCAGCCAGTCCGCTCTTCTCTTATACTAGATCTTCTCTACACCAGACGACAAGTTGCCATGAATACACTATATAACTATCATGACAAGTAACGGTGACAGCCGTTGCTTATAAGAAAGGAACATCGCGAAATCTCGACCAGCAATACAAAAAGGTGAATAAGCTTTTGTAATCAAACTTGCAATGCTCTTTCCTCGTGAACCAAACCTTGCCTTGCCAAACCATCAGCCATCAGGTAGGGGAAATTCTCTGCTATTCGATAGTGGTGTTCGATTGGTTAGCTTCGGTTTGCGAGATAAGGTCATTACAATTTGTTTGATCCGCCCTTTTGTATTGTTGGTCGAGCTCGAAAAACTTTGTTCTAAAACAAATTTATAGATATAGTTGGAAGTAGTGCTTAACAATGACTTCTCCCGATGATTACTAGGAAATCAAGGCACACCCACACAAACCAACATAATAACCATCATGTAAAGGAAGTCTTCTAGAAATATTAAAAAAGAGGAACTGCATTCTTCTTTGACTTGGGTATAGTCGCTTCGAGATCACGGACTACGATTTGGACAACCCTGACATCCGGTGAACATAAGCATCGACACGGCATCTATGGTTTGGTCACGTTTGTCAACAACTTCAGTTCCAAAAAGTTTATTACAGTAAAGAGTTGGAATAGAATTTATCTGTGCCTGTTTGTCCACATTCAGAACCATACGCCCCCAACGACCACTCTCCAGAGCTGTAATCTTGTAACCAAACTTGGAAGCATGGGTGCAAGTGATTTTGATCGATTCTCTTCATCTTTCGTTAATAACTCGTTGATTACCCTTTGCTTTCAAGGTTCTGACATTGACAAAGTACGCAAAAGGAGAGTGTCGCTACTTGATAGCAAACTACTCATGAGGAGTCTGTGTAGCTTACCGGCGTGTGCAAAAATGAAAGAAAATCAAAATTTCATTTTGTGATTGTTTCCCAAACACAGACATCATATTGAAACAGTATCGTGATTATGCATTGTAGCATTCTCTGTAAATTACAATTGGTACAGTAATAGTACGTACGCTGGTGTAGTGACTGGAGGTTCATCGTCAAACGAGGAAGCGGTTGAGATCCTGGAAAAAGAGGTGGTAGTGATAGATGTGACGTCTTCGGACGCCGAGGAGAACAGTGAAGAGGAAGCAAACGCTGCTGAGAAACAGCAGCCGCCTGTTTTCAAGTGCAAAAACGATGCTTATTACTACTACAAATTCAGGATAGTGGACTATATCGAGACGGAGCGAATACAGGACGAAGAGAAGGCTAAGCGGCTGGCGCTGCTGAAGGAAAAACAATTGGCAGAATCAAGGGATTTATTAAATTATGTAATGGTTCTCTGCTCCGTGGAGTCCTTTTGGAAAGAGCGATTTCGATGTTTCGATTTGAATGGTCTGAGGTTTCATTCGAATAGAGGATGATGTTTTGGTACAGTGTAGGCCGGCTAATTTTTCAAAAATCAAATTTCACGTGAGTTCCAAAGAATTTTTTCGGACTTTAGTCTTAAAAGAAGCGCATGCGTTCTAATTGTTGGTAGGTACCTCGATGTATAGAACTTGTACCGGATAATCTTCGTAAAATCAGGGAAACCTCTAAGCTAAACTAGGAAACCCGTGCGACCGTGTTTTAAGTTTGCTGTTTACTAAAAATTAGGTCCTAGAAGAAGTTGGACACCAGAAAGTTTTTTTTAGATGTGCCATAACGATATGAGAATGTTGCGATTACTGATTTGTGATTACCAAGGTACCTCTATGAAAAATGATAACCCAATACTCACATAGCCATGGTACGAGCCCGGACTGCCCTTGGACGTGTTGAAATTATTGCTAACGCCGAGTCCACCTCCTCCACCGGACGAAGCCGCCGACGCACCGCTTGTATCGTTCCTACTAAAACTACTATTGGCCGAATCTAGATTACCCCCGGAGGACGATGCGATCGAGTTGTCGAGATCGCCCGCAAAGTCCCCATAATTGGATGAGTTGAGCGCTTTGGTTACCTAGAATGTTGATTGCTAGTTTTGAAGTGCTTTGCTATAGTTCAAAATAGTTTACCTTTTTCCTTAACACGACTGCGTCGTCTATCGAAGAGAGACTCTCGTTCGATTGCCCGTTGGACATTGATTTGTCTGTAATTAGAATAGGTTGTCGATTGAAAAACAAAACTGACTGATTATTTCAAGTAGCTTAGGAAGTACCTGCAGCCGGTGGTCCTGGCGGTGGTGGCAGCTTTGGTCTATTGTGAAAACTTTTATCAACGGGCTTCAATTGGGGGATTTCTCCCGCCGGTGGAAGGACTAGTTTTGCTCCAGCTGTCAATGAAAAACAAAAATAAAATCAACTACGAAGTGAGAAAACCCCCGAAGCAACTCACCTAAATTTCTACCCAGCGATTCCCCGCTAGGCGAACGCTTATGGCCACCGGTGAAGGTACTCAGAAAGTTCGGATCCCTGTTGGCTTGGATGTATCCCTCGAACCGTTCGTAGATCTTGTTGTCGAAGTGCAACTGTTGGGACGAATTAGATTTACCGCCAGCGGACGAAGCCGACCCACCAACGCCGACGCCAACTCCACCTCCTCCGCCGCCACCGCCTCCACCTATTCCTCCTCCACCACTGTCCGACCCTCGCAGGTGTGGCAGTGTACTGTACATTTCCGAATGATGGTGATGAAGATGATGTGACGATACTCCGAAGATCTCGCTATCAATGTTTTGCGAATGGCGCGGAGCATGCGGTAACGTTCCGTAGGTGGTTGGCGGAGGAGCAGGTGCCGTGCGCTTCTTCAGGGAACCAATGTTAACTGTTTGAGAATGGTAAAATGGTTAGTCAATTCGAATCGATTGGTCGTATCCGATGATAATGAACTTACCGGAGGAAGACTTTTTACTCTGGGAACTAACGGCAGCGGCCGCAGCCGCCGCGGAAATCTGTGCTGACGCTTGACGAATAATACTGCTGGAACTGCTAGAATTAGGACTAGAACCACCGGCAGCCGAGCCGGCTCCCGATCCGTAGTGCGACGCGAACGCTCCGGCATACTGCTTGGGACTAGTACCGGACGAGGGGATCGGAATTTGCCGCTGCTGATTGCTGCCACCACCGGGAATTTGCTGAGCACCGACCAGATTCGGATTACAGCTCGAACTGGGACTGGAACCGCTCTGGATTGAATCACACGTAGAGGACCGGGACCGAAGTGCCACTGGAGAATCACCCCCGACGAAACTGGGTGGTCGCGAGCGGGACTTTCGCTCGTCCATTAGCACCGTATCGTCGTCGGAGAAGTCCGTCGAGCCGTCGTCATGGATGTTCCAGTCGGTGTTGATGTGATCGAAGGCGCTCTTCTCGCGCTTTATGGCATGCTCGATCTGGCGGGTAGAAGTCAAATTTAAAATAATAGGTTCCTACCAAAAGGCGGATCAAAACACTTACCAACTCCTTGCAGGACTCGTGGCCCATCTCTTTGGCAATGTCTAGTGCGGTACGGTTTTGGGAATTTTTAATCTCGTAATCACAGCCGGATCGCAGCAGCAGCTTCATGCACTCCCGCCGATCGTGCAGGGCGCACAGGTGGAGGGCCGTATTTTTGCCGGACATGTCCGCCGGCCCGGGAGGGTTCGTCTGTTTGTTCAGACCCTGGGTGGTCATGTTCTGGATGAGGAAATCGACTATGTGCAGCGTCGATCCCATCTCCCGCAAGACGGACAGATGGAGGGCCGTTTCGCCAAAGTCCTGAGGCGGAAAGGATGGAAGGAAGTGGTTGGGTGATGTAATTTGTAATGGAAAGTAAAATGGAGTTTAGTCGACTTGTGTGTAAAGTAAACGACACCGAGGCCTGACTGGTAAGGTAAATTCAATGTTAGGTGTTTTCAGCATTGGCCAAAACACAATAGGTCTAAACGTAAACGTCGAAGGTTTAACGGTTGAAACACTAATTAAGTTTCCCGAGCAAAGTCGGTTAACAAAATGAAAGCAAATCGATATTAAAGTCTGCAGTTCCTATCATAATGAAAACTCATTTTGATTTCAATTGTCGCGACAGAAGTCTGATATCATATTGTGCTTTCATTATGCAGTCAAGACTTTTTAAATCAAAGCAACTTAACTTGAAGTTCTTCTGTTAATTTCTTGTTTAAAATTTAGGTCATTTTAGGTCATTCGTGACTAGCCCGAGGTGACATTTGAGCTCAAATCTTTCAGCGTGAGAAGCATGGATGCTAACCATTTACGACAGGCCCGTATTCAGTCAAACATTATGAATGCAAAATCAGTAATCAAATTGATTTCATTGAAAGCAGGATTAGTTTTCCGTTTGATTCAACAGTGTAAAATTTTGCTCTCATTTTTGCTGTGTTAACCGTTAAGTCAACCAAAATGAGATCAAATAGAGTATTCAAAATAAGTTACATCACAACAGCAAATTCTGATTTCAATTTGATCTCTAACTTTGCTCGGGTTGTATACTCAAGAGTTAACGTTGTGAACGCATTTATGAGCATGGAAAAGCTCGTGTAAGAGCGCCAATGCCAGAAGAAGATTTATATCACGTAATTAGTATGAGAAAAGAGCAGAGCAAAATCTATGTACGTTTTTACATAACATTAACATGAACATTGTTTTCAGTGTATATTTTTATCTTATCCATCACTCAAACAATAAATAACATTTTCAATGGAAAATATCCATTGGAATTACACATATCTTTCATGTGATGTCATAATTGGGAATCACGCCACAAAATCACATGAACCTTATGTGTACAATGAAATTTATGTGATTTATCACTTAGAACTCATGTGAATTTCAGATAAAAATCAATAATTTTGTTATTGGAAAAATGTCATGTGCATTCCAAATGGAAACTATATGAAAGATTTTTTCAGTGTACTCGGCTTGCTTCCGTTCAAATCAAAACGAATTTCCCCAATTAAATAATGGTTACTCACCGACGATGGTAACACGCAGGAAAGATCCGCTCCTTCAGCCCACACCTGCAGCAACTGACCGAGATCCGCATTGATGACTGCCTGTTCGAGATCGCTTCGCAGATCTCGATCGTCGGAGCAGGTTCGCATCACATATCGCTTGGCGATATACTTTGCTCGTATGAAATCGTACCGTTCCTCCCTGTGGAATACACCCATAGATGATAGTTAGTGTGGATTACAACTCATCCTTGACAGTACAAATCTTACATCGAACTATCCGGTGTCAGTTTCCCACTGCCCAACGTCGCTTCCATCACCTCGTTCAGACTGTTGTTTCCCATGGCCCGGGCGATCAGCAGCTGCGCCGTCGTCAGGTTGTCCAACGTTAGGCTCTGTATCCGCGAGTGGTGCACGCCCAGATCCCGATGCACCCCCGAACATTGGATGCACACCAGAATGCCAAAGTTCAAACTAATCCAGGTAACGTCGTTCTTCGACCCGCAATCACAGCACTGATCGTTGCCGGGCAGATTCTGGATGTACTTGATCACCGTCTTCTGCAGCTCGATTAGACTAGGACTCATCTGGGGGGTCGCGTGTTGGAATGCTTTGGTCAGTGCCTTTTCCTTGCAGTTCATCAGCACCGACATCCACGCCTTCTGGTCGGTTTCGTCCTCCGCTTGGAAGTGGTACGGTCGGTTGTCTGATTCAGATGGATTCGCAGTTAATAAACAACTATAACTCTTCCCAATTCCCCGCAATACTTACAGCTAATCAAATCAAACCCCTTCTTGTCATCCGACACCGGTTTGATCTGACAGGTGAGCAGATTCACCCGGGTGGGTGCTTTCGTTTCATCTGCATGGCAGATATCCAGGAACCCATCGGCCGTCACTCTACACCGTCGTTTTTGCCACACCCTCCGCACTTTGCCTTCGCTCTTCTTCAGCAGGTGCCCCGATCGAGTGATTCCATGGTTCTTATCACCTTGCAGCTGGTGTAGCGAATAGCCAATGGCACCTTTATCACTGGGAACGTTCTCTACCCGTTCGAAGTCCGGGGAAGACCGCAGGAGTGTTCTCAACTCCAGCAGCTTCCGTCGTTCTTCGTCCTGTTTGTGACGGATGGTTTGAAGCTTCACGCTCAGCTCCTCTATGTACGTGCCAAAATGAGCAATTGTCTTGAGGCCATCCTTGAAGTAGCTACCAATTAACGAAACAAAAGATGCAAATCAGTTTAAGATCAGTAAAGCGAATGACGTTCTCCTACTCCTCAAGAGAGCTGTAATCCATCCCTTTGACGGGGACGTTCAATTCGTAAGCCATGTGGCTGATCATGATTGTTTGTTGCAGCAAGGTTTACCTTGGACTGACTCACCCTCAGCCACTGGCTAGCTGATAGACCGACCCCGACAGCTGAATAAACCACCCTTCTTATCTTTCCCTCCTGTAGTCGGTACAGATAGCAAATCTTCCGAGAAGCAGGAGTCACAACACTGCCAAGCCCACTTACTTGTTTTGAGCGTGGTAGTACTCGACCAAGTGCTGCAGCAGTTCGATACCTTTCTTGGTCTTTATCTCGTTGAACTTTATCAGATACTGCAACAACAAGAAAAACTTGAAGATAGGTGCGTCCGGTAGAGAGAAAAAAAAATCAATGCAACTGAATTACAACTTACCTCGCACATTTGCAACTGAAACACCCGCCGTTCCTTTTCGATTTCCTCGGCAATCTCGGCGGGCGTCACCTCGGTTCGCATCATGCCGGCGTCCTTGGCCAGGGCCTTCTTCTCCTTCTCAATCTTCATGAACTTGGAATCGTAATCTTTGGCTGCTTTGTCGAATGGCCTCTTCATCTCGCCCTTCATTCCGCGCAGTTCGCTCTTGAGCAGCGAATCCACCGGGAACATGACGATGTTGTTGATGTTTTGCATCTAGGAGAGGCACCCGGGACGGAATTCAATTACACTGCCGCACGCGATTGGGGGATTAAGGGGGAGGGGGAGGGAGGAATCGAATTCGATACTTACCAGCGTTTTCATCAGGGCGCTGAGCTCTTTGGTGACGACGGAAAATTTCAGGAACGCTGCACCGATGTCGGGTTCCTCTTTGGACAGGGCAACCGAGCCGAGACGTTCCAGTGCCCGTACCAGACACATCTCGTTGTCTACGTGAGCTGGAAGAGATGGGATGGAGATTGGATGGAGATGTTAAGATTTTTTGTTAAAGGAGTTACACAAAGTAGATAATAATATGCAGGCGGATGCACACCGCAGTGAATCTGGGTTCAGCAGAGGTCGTTGTATGGATAATCGAATCAGTGCAGTTGGAGGCAAATATCAGCGACATATTTACCCAGATTCTCGTTTGCGTTCGAATCGGTTCTACCCGTTTGGCATAATCAGGGTGGTCACTGGATTTAAGAATTTAAATTCCGAGTTATCTAACATAGTTTTCCAGGTTTATGGATACATCTAAATATGATAAAGTACCCCAAGTTACATTACAAGATTTGAATATCGAAGTTTTAAAGCATTACCAAAGCCTACATCATGGTCAACAAGAACATGATAAAACCTAAATTGTTTCTTGGGGCATAGATTATTATTCCGGGTAGTTTTTGACCTTTCGGAATGCAGTCTGCAGTTATGAGATAAAAATACGATGTTTTCAAAGGAACTCAAAAGAGAAATGCAACGAAATTGCAAGGAGAATCATTGACAAATAAAAAAAAGAACTTAAAGGAATTTAAAAGGAATTCTAGGATGACTTGATACTGCTAAGCTGAATTTCAAGGGAATTTACTGGTATACTGGTATTTGGTATTCATTGACTACGAAAAAGCTTTCGACCGTCTCAATCACGAGAATCTGTGGGGCGCCCTGAGACGCAAGGGAGTCCCGGATAAAATCGTCAACCTCATCGAAGCGCAGTATGAGGCTTTCACGTGCAGAGTTCTGCATAACGGAGCCTTGTCCGACCCTATCCGGGTAGTCGCTGGTGTGAGACAAGGATGTATACTATCACCGCTACTGTTTCTCATCGTAATCGACGAGATTATGGTAGGTGCAATTGACCGTGTACCGAACCGTGGGCAGCTTTGGCAGCCTATCACCATGGAGCATCTCAACGACTTCGATTTGACTGATGATGTTGCTCTACTAGCACAACGGCGCTCTGATATGCAGAGTAAGCTCAATGACCTAGCCGAACGCTCCTCTGCGGCGGGTCTCACCATCAACGTCAACAAGACCAAATCGTTGGATATCAACACGGGCAACCCTTCCAACTTTATGGTAGCGGGGCAAGCAGTGGAGAAGGTCGAAAGTTTCCAATATCTTGGCAGCCAAATAGCGTCGGACGGCGGGACCAAGAGCGACATAGGTGCACGAATCAAGAAGGCTAGGACTGCCTTTCCGAGTTTACGAAACGTATGGAGATCCAACCAGATAAATCAACGCACCAAAATCCGAATTTTCAACTCGAACGTGAAAACTGTGTTGTTATACACCAGCGAGACGTGGTGTGTATCAGCGGAGAACACATAAAAGCTGCAGGTCTTCATCAACCGATGCCTGCGGAATATAATTTGTGCCTGGTAGCCTCACAACCAGGGCCCCACAAAATCACTTTCAATCGAAAATCGTCAAGCGACGATGAAGCTGTCAACCATCACTTTTAATTGAAAGTCATTCTGTCTTCTCTTCGAGCAGATCCCCGTCAACATCAACAGAACCACTTTCGATCAGTTTTCATGCTGTTTATATTGGCTTGACTCGTGTTCATTTCTTCTTTCAATGTCAAATGATCTTACTTTTGCATTTAAGCGAAGCTGTTCGATCCAAATTCGCGCAGTTTTTATGACTTTTGTTGATTGTTCAATCGGTTCATTTAAGCGAATGCGCATTGATCTGTGCACGTGGATGTCAAATTTATCATTGTCGGGTGATTTTTTTTACTTATCAATATGGGTATTTTTTCAATCGGGGTGACGTCTAGAGATCGAAAATTGGTATGCGACGCCATTTTTAAATCCAAGATGGTGGCTTCCAGTTTAAGAAAAAGTGGGAAATGCTATCAAATACTTATGAATAAAGGTATTTTTGGAATCGGGATGATGTCTAGAGGATGAAAATCGATATCCGACGCCATTTTGAAATCCAATATGGCGGCTTCCGATTTACGAAAAAGTTGAAATACAGTCAAATACACATCAATATGGGCATTTTTGTAATCGGTATGAAGTCTACCGATCGAAAATTGATATGCGACGCCATTTAGAAATCCATGATGGCCAAGATGGTGGCTTACAATTTCAGATTAAGTGGGAAATACTGTCAAATACTCATCAATATAGGTATTTTATGAATGGCGTCTAGATGCCGGAAATCGATATCCAACGCCATTTTGAAATCCAATATGGTGGCTTCATATTTCATGGAAAACAATATCCGGCGCCGTTTTGAAATCCATGATGGTGGCTTCCGGTTTGAGAAAAAGTTGTAAATTCTATCAAATACCCAAACAAACGGTTTGTTTTAGAATCAGGGTAGTGTCTAGAAGGCGGAAATCGATATCCGACGCCATTGTTTAATCCAAGACGGCGGCTTTCAATTTGCGGAAAAGTGTCAAATATCCTAAAATATGGTTATTTTCAGAATGGGGATGAGACGTAGATGTCGAAAATTGATGTCACACCGTCTTTAAATCCAAAATGGCGGCTTTGGTTCAGAACTGTGAAATACTGTCAAATACCGATCAGTGGGTGTTTTGAAATCGGGCTGGCATCTAATAGCCAGAAATCGATGTCCGACGCCATCTTGAAATCAAAGATGGAGGCTTCAGATTTCAGAAGAAGTGTCAAATAGCCTGCAAATGGCATCGAATATCGATTTTCAGCATCTACGCGTCGTCCTCGTTGCGAAAATACCCGGATCTAAAGGTATTTGATACTTTTTGTGAAACCCGATGGCCGTTATATTGGATTTCAAAATGGCATCGGATATCGATTTTCGGCATCCACACGTTGTCTCCATTCCGAAAATACCCATATTGTAGGGTATTTGACACTTTCTGAACCCTGATGGCCGCCATATTGGATTCCAACATAGCGTCGGATATCGATTTTCGTAATCTACGCGTTTTCCCTGTTCCGAAAATAATAATACTGTAGGGTATTTGACACTTTTTCTGAAACCCTATGGCCTCCATATTGGGTATCGATTTTGCGCAGCCACGCGTTATCTCCGTTCCGAAAATACCCATATCATAGGGTATTTGACACATTTTATGAAACGTGATAGCCACCATCTTGGATTTCAAAATGGCGTCGAATATCGATTTTCGGCATCTACGCGTCGTCCCCGTTCCGAAAATACCCAATATGGATAGGATAGTTGACACTATCTGAATCCTGATTTCCACCATATTGGATTCCAACATAGCGTCAAATATTGATTTTCAGCATCTACGCGGCTTCCCCGTTGCGAAAATACCCTATTGTAGAGTATTTTAAGCATAACATTTGATAACGGCACAAAAGCATTTGTAAACAAACTTTCTAAGGCCCTTTACACGCGAACCAAAGTACGCCCACGCAAACCAATACCACTTTCGGAAAGGTGATAGTTGCCCCTATCCGATGATGTTGTTGGTTTGCGTGGTCGATTTTCGGCACCTTCACGTCGTCCCCGTTCCGAAAATACCCATATTGTAGGGTATTTGTGACTTTCCCTGACCTCGATGGCTGCCATCTTGGACTCCATATTACTACAAATAATCCGGATGCCATCTCTATCGGAAGCCAATATTGTGCGGATACCATCCGGATACTATATTTTGATGCCTGCGTCGTCAGGTTGTGACAAGTCGAATGAGCCCCGTATTGAAGTGAAAGTGGAAAAAACGAAGGAAGCATTCATTGCGTCAATTGAAATAAGTCTTTGCTTCAAATGAAATGAACTGAAACACTTGACGAACGAAACAAGTGATAGTCCAGTCATGTTTGAAAAGAGGAATGTTCATCGTGACTCGATAACAAGAAACACGATGACTTACACGAAAATGATATTGCTCGAAATGAAGCGATTCTGCGGAGGGTTCATTTTCTTTTCTTTGTTTCGAAAATGCAGAACCCTGCTCACAACTGGATCTCGAATGCCGAGCTCCATCGTCGATGTCATCAGAAGCCGATAGCAACAGAAATTCGAGAGCGAAAGTGAAGGTGGGTCGGCCACACACTTCGACGGGGCGGAAACGAAATCTGCAAGCAAGCGCTGGATTGGAATCCGGCAGGACATCGCAGCGAATTTCTTGCTAAAATTTTCCAATCGCGAGATATTCGCAATCAATCAAGTTTGAGATTTTTTTGCTTTTTTCTAGCGTCCTGGAGAAAACCTTACCTTAATTCGAGGTGTTTCTGGTTAATTGACAAGGTCATGTGGTATTCGGTCATTGCGAGCATTTTTATGTACCACTTCAATACTGTTACGCATTTGACCACAAACGTTTGGTTACTGGGTGCATTATCTAAGAGCTTTAGGGGTGATGTGGTGGTCCTGCAAAGAACCGTTTTGTCGTGATGGTTGAGTAATGCTGAGCTATTAGGGTGTTCAACACGGATGATGTTGGCGAGCTGTATGTTGTTTGGAACCTTGGGTGACGCACTTGGCATAGGTGGCCCACAGCGACTCACGAAGAGCTACTGAATCCGATCAGTAGCGGTGCGGCTTCTTCCTCCTTATTCGATGAAAGGACGCTCATGTGGGCTGCAGCACGCTGATTGTGGGCAGCGTCTCGTTGTGTACTACTGATGACGACCGTTTGGACACCACCACATACGGTGATTGAATAAGCACCGTTCGGCGAGACCAGATGGAATTCGATTTTGAAATCTGTGTTAGGGAAAGCGTTTTTTTGCAGCCAATTGGTGTTAATTTTGATCACCATTGCAACAGTTGAACATTTGTGTAATTTTCAATAGTGACCTATTGTAAATTGATAAAGTGTTCTTTTCAACAGATCCATAGAAAAATTTCCAATCTATTAGATTGTTTAAAATGTAAATCCATCAGCTATTGACAGAGTTATAAGTGGTCAAAACCTGACCTTTTTTTGTAATGCGGCCGATGTTTTTAATTCATCAAAACAAGAGAATGCCAGAGAGAATGATAAGAT